TTGTACGACCAATTGCAGCCGATCTAGATTTTTTTGAAATAATAGGTTGTTACGTACGGAAATTTTATATTTCCGACGACGCACGTTAAAAGTTTTGAACGCTTAGACGACGCACGCTAGGCTCGGAATTCCGAGGAAACGGCCGGATTAGTGTAAATGTTTAGATTATCTTATCGGAGTCCATTGAAGGGCTGGGGGCCAGATGGGCCCAAAACTACGCTTCTAGAATGTTCTAGAAGCTTCTAGAATACCTCCCCCCTTAAGACGCGTAGGAAAAAGGCGGGAATCTCGCGCGGGAGATTCCGGTCTTTTTCGGGTATAAATAGGGCGGAAAAACGCCGCGGAAAGCAGATAAGTTTTAACTTCGGTGTTGACTAGACGTAATTCTCAGACTCTCTCCTAGCCTTATTCGATTTCCTACGTTCCACTATACGCTAAGTTCGAGCATTCGCGCTCAATTCTGGGACTTAGTCCCTACACTCTCATACCTTATAAGACCGCGCTTCACGCACAAGTTGTATTGAGATTTATAGAATAAAGGTAAGATAAGTTTAAAAGGGAACAAGTGTAAAAATCTGGAATCTCATTTCGTGACTTTAATCAATAAATCGATCACTTCTAAGATTCGACTCGCAGTTGTCGCTGACAAAGTGTGGCGATCTGTGCTGGGGCGCTGACGAAGAGTGTGGCGATCCAGTACTTTCGCTGCCGAAAGCGTGGCGATTACGGGGTTGATTCTTGGGGGTCGTAATAATCACTATCACTTCTGGGATTCCGACTCGCAGTTTCCGCTGACAAAGCGTGGCGATCTGTGCTGGGGCGCTGACGAAGAGTGTGGCGATCCAGTACTTTCGCTGCCGAAAGCGTGGCGATAACGGAGTTGGTCCTCAGAAAAGATAATAATTTCGACAAATTCCCGAAAGTGAATTTGACCTCTACGCTGACGATCTGAGCGCTGACGAAGAGTGTGGCGAGCAGAGGGTGTGGCGGATTGGTTTTGAGCGCTGCCGAAGAGTGTGGCGAGCTTAAAATTCATTTTCGCGAACGCGGCTGAATGACGAAGAAAGGAGGTAGGCGCGTTCGTATTAAACGAATCAGATTCCAGATCAAGCAAGCAGTCATTAATAATCAAGATCCTCTCCCCTTCCTCCAACAATTGCAACAGCTGGAAAACGCACCCTCCTTTAAACCTATTCCTGTCGATTTCGACGTTGATTATCCTAATTATAACCAAATAAATAAAGCTGATCCTCGTTACCATACATATAAACTTAGATATCTTTTCGGTCCCGAATAGTAAATATAATAATAATATCCTCCACACGACTTGTCCAAATCCCTGGTAAATTGCTTAAATGCATTGACCAAAAAACGGACGAACTATAACAGTCAGAACGTGACAAGGTATTTCATGACATATGGAAAACACGCGAGCGCGTCGCGCATTTTTTGTCGATAGTTAGAAAATGGCGACTCAAATAAAAAAATAGTTCAAATAAAAGTTGTAGACGATTCAATTACGAACAATTTCCGTTTTTTTTTTTTCGATACGATCAGTATTGACAGAGATATGAATTTTTTAAACATTTATTATCGCGCGGTCAATATGACTGAAAAGCATTATCGCAATAAATGGTATTAAATGAAATAATAATTAATTAATTAATTATTAATATGTGAATTATGAATAATATGTACATAATTTATGATGACTTGATGAAATATAATGGTTTGCAAGTAATCCTTCGTGTCGTAGTGTCTTCCAGGGAAGAAAATTTTTTGCCCTCACTTTTTAATAATTTGTAGCATTATTCGATATTTTTACATGTTTTATTGTGATTTCAATATTGTAAACTGCTAAAAAATCTAAAATTATTCGAAATTGGTATATCTATATATATAAAGGAAGATGTCCTGACTGACTGACTCATCAACCCCCAGCCCAAACCCCTGAACCTAGAAACATGAAATTTGGAGAGTGTATTCCTTTCATGACGTAAGCACCCACTAAGAAAGGATTTTTAGAAGTTCAACCTCCAAGGTGGTGAAAAAAAAATATAATTTTTTTACATAAAAAATATCTTTTACACTCCAAATAGTCCAAATTCGCCTTTTCTTATTCAAAAAAATTTTTTCTGGCATTCTTAAAGTCTTTTTATACCACTTAAAAATTACCAAATTTCTGGCAACGAAATTAAGTATTCCTATTTTATGAATAACTAGCTTGATACCCCGTGCTTCGCTACGGTATGCGAAAGATTCTATAATTCACCCCCGAATTTATAAATTTGCCTCTTCAGGGATTGATTAGGGCAAAATCTTGAATTATGTTTTTAAGCACTTGTATGGGTAACCTTCGTAAGCAAAAACCAAGTCGATATCTCATCGGGCTTAAAAGATATTGAGAAAGTCGTGAAAACACATTTTACCCCTTTTTACCCCCTTGGAGGTTGAATTTCTAAAAATCCTTTCTTAGTGGGTGCTTATGTCATGAAAGGAATACACTCTCCAAATTTCATGTTTCTAGGTTCAGGGGTTTGGGCTGGGGGTTGATGAGTCAGTCAGTCAGTCAGACATTCAGTCAGGACATCTTTCTTTATATTGTTGCGCCCGTGCCGAGACACCCGTTGCGCGCTGAACTTCGTCCACGTGAACTTCGCTCGAATAGCTTCAAGTCGAAGCGCGGTCCTTAACGACGGAATTATTGATTTATTGATTACACATTGACTGGGAGATTTCGCTCTGGGTTTCCGATTCGTTCGGACGTGTCCACCCGAGCTCTTTGTTAAACGAGTTCCTATTAAACGAGTTCCTATTAAACGAGTTCCTTTCTAACATAAAGAGAGTCTTTATTCCTGGAAACGGGATTACGCGCCGCGTTCGCGAGTGAGTGTGTGAGTGAGCAGCGGACGCACGGATAAGCGTAACATTTTGGGGGCTCGTCCGGGATCGGACGAGCGAAGACGAACGAGCGAACAGGGAACTCTAGACGAGCGCAGTATTCCGACCAGGATGGCGACCATGCACTCCCCGCCGAGGACCCGTTCGCAGGCCGCGGCGTCGGCAGGAGCGGAGACGGGTGCCTCGTCCCATTCGCAGGATGCGGGGGCGACGGTGGCGGGGACGGGCGCTTTTGAAGCCGTCCACTTGGAGCTGCAAAATCTGCGCGAGGAGCGGCGGCTGGAGCAGCAAGAGCAACAGCTTTTCCGCAGTGAGATGGAGGCTCGCTTGAAGGAGCGCGATGCTGCAATGGCACGTCTCCAGGAGCAACTCGCCGTTTACCAGCTAAGTCCCTCCAATAATGTTTCTCGCGGCGTAATGTTGAGTGAGGCGTCGTGTGAGATAGGTGCGGGTGAGGGCGCGTGTGCGGGGCGCGCCGCGTGCGGAAATTCGGTCGCGCCGCTGCGGGCGATGGGCGCGAGCGTGGGCTCGTGTGCGGGGCGCATCGCGTGTGAAGGTTCGAGTGAAGCGTCGCGCGGTTTGAAGTTGAAGCCGGATACGTTTGATGGGACGGCGCCGCTTCGCGAATTCTTAGCGCAATTTCTTTTAATCGCGCGCGCGAATTTGTGGACCGAGGCGGAAAAGGCGGTCGTGTTGGCTTCGTGTCTGCGCGGGAAGGCGCGGTCACTTCTCGAATCGTGCGCCGATGGAATCGAATCTCTCACTTACGCGGAGCTCACTGAAAAGCTCGAGCTGCGTTTCGGAGAGGGGCACCTCTCGCAAAATTATTACTCCCTTTTTACGAATAGAAAACAAAGATTCGGGGAGGAATACGCAGCGTTGGGCTCCGATCTTGAAAGGCTCTCGCGCCTGGCCTATCCCGAATGCACTTATGCCGTGCGAGATAAGATTGCTTGTTCACAGTTCGTTTCTGCTTTGTTTGATGGATTTGTCAAGAGAACTTTACAATTGGAAGGGATCACTTCATTAAAGATCGCGGTGGAAAGGGCAAAGGCGGTTAAGGCTATTCAGGGCGAAAGCTTTGGGGAAAGAAATAGAGGGGGAAAGTTTTTCAATAAAAATGGGGGGACTAGTGAAACAGCGAATCCTACTTTAGGTGAACAGAAAGAGAAAGAGAACGTGAAAGAAGGAGAAAAGAGAAAATTTGTTAAGAGTAAGCCGAAGGAATGTTGGCTTTGCGGGAGGCAAGGGCATTTCCGTAACGAGTGTCCGGAAAAAAAGGAAAACGTGGTTTAGTTGGTCTCGGCGGGGAGAGATCAGCTTGCATGGATAAATCCCCGACGAAACGGTGTTTTCTTGTTAATAGAGTGCATAAGATTTTTCAAGATTATTGTTACACTGGTTTTCTTAATAATAAAGAATGCATTTTCAAAATAGATACGGGTTCCGATGTTTCTTTAATAAATAGGAAATTCGTTCGTGAAGGGGAACGGAGATTTCCGGTATTCGGTCGAAGATTCAAGTATCCCACGGGGGAAGACGTTACGGTTGACTTCGAAATTCTCGCCAAGGTTGAACTCGGTAAAAACTCATTCGAGCTTCCGATATTAGTGTCGGACATTGCGGATGATTGTCTTCTGGGGGTGGATTTTCTCCGGAAGACAGATTTCGGTCGAGTTTGCGATTCTTTTTTCGGCGTACCTTCTGTTATTCGAAGGATTGCCCAAACGAAAGATTCTAAGGAGTTCTCTCCCCTTTTGGAGGAGCTCCTTTCTAAAAATTCTAAGAATCTTTCCGATAATCAGCAAAATGTTTTTGTTGAATTTATTCGTGAATATCGGGATGTATTTTCTGAAAAGATTGTTGCGGGAAATTGTGATGTAGTTAGTCATGTAATTAACGTTGTAGATTCTCTCCCTATTAAACAGGTACCACGCAGAATCCCTTTTAACATGAGAAAGGAAGTCAATGAGATTATTGAGGAAATGAAGGAACAAGGAGTGATCGAAGCGTCACAAAGCCCCTGGATTTCTCCTGCAGTATTAGTAAAAAAGAAGGATGGATCGATTAGATTCTGCGTGGATTATAGAAAATTGAATGATGTTACTATGAAAGACTCCTTTCCTTTACCACGAATTGACGATATCCTCGACCAATTAGCAGGTAACACTTGGTTTTCTACACTCGATCTTAAAAGCGGATATTGGCAGGTGAAAATACATCCCGAGGATAGGGAAAAGACTGCCTTTTCTATCGGTAATGGTCTTTGGCAATTTACTGTGATGCCATTCGGATTATGTAACGCCCCCGCGACTTTTCAACGTCTTATGGAAAAAGTTCTTCATGGTTTATTATTTAAGATTTGTTTAGTTTATCTGGACGATGTAATTATTTTCGGGAAGAATTTTAACGAAATGGTTGAGAATCTGAAAAAGGTTTTTCTTCGTTTACGTAATGCTAATTTAAAAATCAATCCAAAAAAATGTGTCCTTTTTGAAAGAAATGTAAAATATTTAGGTCATGTAATTTCTTCCGAGGGCGTTGCAACAGATCCTGAAAAGATCTCTGCAGTGAGAGACTGGCCTGTCCCTCACACTAAGAAGCAATTGAGGAGTTTTCTCGGGTTCTGCTCCTATTATAGAAGATTTATTAGAGGATTTTCTTCAATAGCCAAGCCTTTATTTATTCTTACGGAAAATAAAGTTAAATTTGTTTGGGAAGAAAATTGTCAAAAGGCTTATGAAGAATTAAAACTTGCATTATCATCTTCCCCAATTCTATCTTTTCCTGATGGGGAAGGAGAATTTATTGTCGACACTGATGCTTCTGGTGTTGGGATTGGCGCGGTCCTTTCTCAGGAACAGGAGGGAAAAGAAAGAGTAATCGCTTATTACAGTCGTATTTTAAATAAGGCGGAAAGAAATTATTGTGTGACTCGCCGCGAACTTTTGGCGATTGTCGACTCTCTTAAATCTTTTCGCCATTACCTTTTGGGGCGGAAATTTTTAATTCGCACGGATCATGTCTCTTTGAAGTGGTTAATGTCCTTCAAAGATTTGGAAGGACAATTGGCTCGTTGGTTGGAGAGGCTCCAACAATTTGAATTTTCTGTGGTTCATCGTAAAGGCTTTTCTCACAAGAATGCCGATGGTTTATCAAGGCGACTGTGTGAGATGGAAGATTGTCAGTATTGTGCAAGGGTGGAAAAGAAATCTTCTCAGGGACAAGAAGAGACTGTTGCTCGAATCTCCTTAGACACTGAAAGTCTGGAACTCTGGCGAAAGGAGCAGAGATTAGATCCGGACATTTCTTTAATTTTACAGGCGAAGAAGGTAGGTGTTCGTCCTCCTCGTTCTGAAGTAGTATCAGGAGATATTTCTTCTCAGATTTATTGGGCATATTGGGATGCTCTTGTTGTTAAAGATAATATTCTTTATAAGAAGTGGGAAGCCCCTAATCTAAATTCTGTCTTCTTTCAGCTGGTAGTTCCCCGAAGTCAGGTTGCCAGGATCTTAGAGGAAGCTCACGATTCTTCTTCGGGAGGGCATTTTGGAATAAATAAGACCCTAAGTAAAATCCGTCGACGTTTTTATTGGGCTACCTGTAAGCGCGATGTAGAAGACTGGTGCAGATCTTGTCGTGTCTGTGTAGCCAGGAGGGGTCCCTCAGGCAAAGGGAGATCTCCTCTTCAAATTTATAACGTGGGCACCCCTTTTCAGAGGGTACAGATGGATATACTTGGTCCCCTCCCGAGAACTTCCACCGGAAACAAATATTTACTTGTGATCGTTGATTGTTTCACTAAATGGGTAGAAGCATTTCCGATCAGGAATATTAGGA